CAACATTTGTAGGAGATTCTACCCCTCTGCTCTGCCCTCATGAGACTCCACCTTAAATGCTGCATCCTCAACACGGGAAGGACATTGACCTGGTGGAGCGTGTCCAGAGAAGAGTCATCAACTTGATTAGAGGGATGGAGCACTTCTTGTATGAGGAAAGGCTGAGAGAATTGGGATTGCTCAGTCTAGAAAACAAATGGCATCAGGGTGATCTGTGGCCTTCCAGTACCTGAAGGGAACTTCAGAAAAGATGGAGAAAGACTTTACAAGAGCATGTGTTGATAGGACAAAGTGGAGTTGGTTCAAATCGGAGGAGAGTTGATCTAGATATTAGCTTGAAGGAAAATATTTTTTACTGTGAGGGTGGTGAGGCACTGGAACAGGTTGCCAAGATAAGCTGTGGTCGCTCCATCCCTGGATGTGTTCAAAGCCAGGCTGTATGGAGCTCTGTCCCTGCCCACAGAGGGGCACTGGAAATGGATTGTCTTTGAGGCCCCCTCCAACCCAAACCATTCTAGGATTCTATGATTCTGTGAATTACAAAGCACCAAGACAAGTGAAGTGGCAGAATGGGATATATCCATATTCATATTCAAGACACATAGACAAGAATACATTATTAAATTAAAAACATATGAGTTCAGAAACGTCTTAAAAATCACAGAACTTTTTTGACCTCAGCATTAAAGTGAGTTTATAAAATAAACAGATAAGATTAATATTAATAAATAGCCTAGCCATGTAATATTAACTTGCAAAATTAATTTCAAAACTAAATTTCTAAAAGTTAGTGTAAAATCAAATATTTTTGAAAGACACTTCACAGAAATAAATACAAATTATTTGAAAAGTGCTATAGGGGCATACACAGCTATGGACCAACGTGTCTGATTTTCATGCTAAAAAAMAAAGTATAAAAATAAATAGAATTAATAGAGAATATAATGTACATGYGAAGGTCAGTATAAATAAATAAAATTTTGTGTCTCACCAGAAGTCTTTCAAGGGCCACTTAACACATGGATAAAACATGAGGACAAGAAGCTATCACAAGCTGAACAGGAATCAATTTTTCAATGTTGTGTTGTGAAAAGGATAATGCCAAGGATAACTCAAGCATCAGCTGTAAGAGCAACATAACTCTGTTTTCCTTAGCACTGGCTGCATCTCAATATTATATGTAGTTTTGTTGTAATGCTCTGCAGTTAAAAAGAAAACAAACAAGMTGCTTGGACAGATTCATCAGGGAAGAAAAGAAAAGAAAAAAAAAACCCTCTTAGAGGCATGAACAGCAATGATTGAAAAATCTGACCTTGCTTAGTCCACACATGAGAGAGGTTAGAAAAACTAGTAGTTTTTACAATCAAACAGGTTCATGTAGAAACGAACAATAAATGTTATTTCATTCTCCATGTCCAGGGCTAGTAGGATAAGTAATAATGTGTTTAAGTTTCAGCAAGGGCTAGACAAAGTGTTGGGGAATGCTAACTGAACTCCAAATGGAATTCCCTGGGCATGGTACTTATCACTAAATATAAAGTTTTGAACTGACACCTATCCGTAATATTGTCACATAGAAGAGAGGGAAGGATTACAGGGTTTAAAATATACTTCCCAGACCAATTTTCTATGATTCAATAGTTATATCCACGCATTTGAAGTTCTGTTTTGGGAATTTTAATCTAAGCACTTAACCTCAATAATTTTTCAATAGTTAAATAATGCTTTCAGTTTTTTATTTCCAACAAAATATCCCCGTTTTCTCATGGAAAAGCACAGGTCCAGTGCTTGTCGAAAGTTGCTACAGGATTCTGTAAAGATTAGTTTGGACAACTTTTCTCCTGAGCCATCATCACTTCAAAGTGTTGATTAAAGTCATGCCCGGTTCCAGTTAAGAGCTGGTAGTGAATGACAGGCCTTTTTTCCAGCTCTAACCTTGAATTAGGAACATTTCTCAAATTGCAGGTTGTTTTCAAATATCAAACTTTTTATGTGGAGATAATTTACATTGGAATGTACACATTTAGTAAGCAAATTGGGAAGACAGAACTTTGCTACTAAAAGAATTTAAGACATGTAAATAAGCAATTCTAGAACAGGTGACTTTTCATTTCCAAGGAATCTAAAAAAAACAAGCATCACTGTAGTTTAATAGGAAAAATTTTAAAAATATCTCTCGATCCTTTCAGGTGAACAAGCTTGGGGAAAAAATATTTTGGAAGAAAAGATTTGTGGAATCCCAAAATACGATTGGCTCGAGGAGTTCCTAGGTGAAGATTTACCCTAACAAAACCAAAACAAACAAGCATAGTTCAGTGTGACTTAGAAAGTATGTAATATTGTCCAGGAAAAAGCCCTCAAAAAGTAATTACACTCAAATAGAGACCTGTCTTGAATGAGTCTTCAACTGAATACTAGCAATAGACAGAAAAATCTGATGTTAGCATAATTCAATAAAGTGGTATTCATCTCCTGTCCTTTAGAAGGGTCTATAACACTGTTKTATATTTAAAGGTTTAAATAGTTTTTATTTACATTTTACCATAATCTGGTTTAGACTGTGGACATTAAAATACATAGAGTTAACAGAAAGCTTTTTTAAATCAACAGATGTGGTGATCCTTGAAATTGAATTTTTATCAAGTTCATAGCTCTTCTAAATATTGATGCAAGAAATTTGAAAGGTAAAACATCTTTTCTTTAAACTGCATGGATAASAGGTTATATCAGGAGATTAAGAAGGAAATATTTTTCACTACTAACAGTGTGTCATTAAAAGTGAACAGGACAACTAAAACCTGAAGGTCCCAAAAGAACTGTTCAAGAGTGCTACAAGCCAAAGTATTTTCTATTCCTACTGTCRGATCATTTGAATTTTAATCTAATAAAGAAGCATGGAATATATTTAGAAGGTAGTGTCATGGAGAGATGCTTACTTTATTGAACAAGAAAGAGAAAAAGAGTAAGGTTCATCCAGTATGTTTCTGCCTGTTAGAACAGGGAATTTGCAAAATAAAAAAAAACCTCTATGTGACATTATATGTCTGTTGAGAACATAGATGTAGAATACTGGATTGTGAGGGGAATAATAAGCTAGAACAGACAAAAACTTTTAAAGTCCATGAATACATCAGTAGGAATGGCGAGTGTTATTAAGACAACACAATTGGAGGAATTGGCTGGGGAAAAGTAAAAAAAAATTACCCTTGAGTAAGAAGTGTGGGGGGACTCTCACTAGTGGAATTACTATTTATTTGCAAACACGCTGACCGAAATAATGACTTATCTTCCATTATAAATGTTGAATGGCTAAAACCAGAAAAGCTGTGGATGACTGCAAAGATAGAACAGTCTCTGCCAGCAAGCCAAGAGTAGCTAGGGACTGCAATCCACTCATTGACACAAATACTGCAAGGTCAACAGTGTGGAGATCAGAGACCATAGAGCAGCCTTGAGGAGGAGGGTGATGCTCCAGCACACACCACAAGAAGATTTTAGGTGTCAGAAAAGAAAGCCRAGGCAGACCCGGTCTTAATGTGCCATTGCAGGCATAAAATAGAAATGGGTCATGGAAAATTGTTCCTACAGGGAGAGGCACTACAAGGATGAGGGGCTTCATCAGAGACAGACTTGTAGATTCTTAGACACACACTTTGCTTTTACAGCTATCTCATTATGATTCTCATTTACAAAATTATTCTTCTTCATGCTAGCAGGCATTGTGAAGTAAGCAGTGCTGCACCTTCTGTGACCAGACTCAAAATCTGAAAAGAATATTTGCTTCTGGAAAATTTCCCACTAATTTACTCTCTCTGATGGACCAGCAGGCATTTTGGTGGTCTCCATCATCTTTATGAGTACCCTTATGGATCAGGCTAGATGAAGAAAAATACTGGCAAGAAATTTTGCTACCTAATATCTTAAAGCAAGTTCTTGGCACTTTCAGATAACAATGGAAAAACCAGTTTTTATGGTCTWTTAAAGAATTATGAAATGATGACATTTGTCTCCCATTATCCAGAAATAAATTATTTAATCAACATTTTCATCAAAAGTGCTTAAAGCTAAATTGAAATATATGCATCCAAAAAGATTACAATGGCAGCATGGTATTACCTCCTTTGCTCCTGGCTACTACAAGGCGCTTCAGGAATCTCTGCAGTTCATAAGTTTATATACCCATACAGAGAGATAAAATATAAATATTCAGATCCCAATGGATATTTCCTGTGGCAGCACTAGAATAAATGGGTAACTTCATATATTGAGAGTGTTATGTGGTGGTTTAAAATGCACATTACATTCGATATGATTGTGTATGACCGAAAGCCAAAAGGTCTGGAAGATGTAGTACAACCAGAATAGTTTCAAGGATTCTTTTGAAGTGGAGGTCTCAGTGCTGTCCTTAATCCTTGAAAACTACTTTAAGATGCAAAATTCTAAGGAGAGAAGCCTTTGAGGAAATGAAGATATTAATGAATCTACTTACAATGACAGGAAGTGACACAGGCAGGCTGTACCCCAAGCAATGCACAACAATAACTTGAAAGTCTATTACAGATGTAAAGAACTTATAAACATGGTTTGTAGGAAAGAGGAGACATCCCAAAGTCCTCTTCTTTYAGATACTAACAATGAGAGGAAGATCTTTCAAAAACATAAGTCTGTTCTGGGGAAAGTCTCTTTCTACAAGGGCACATTTTGCACAATCAATAGAAAAATCTTTCTAATAAAATTTTAGGCTATGTTGAAGATCTASAAGACATAGTTGCAGCCAGTAATATGAAGTTAGGAAGTTTAAACCTTGTAAGTAAGGACTGAGGCAAAATTAAGTAGTCCTTGAGACACAGTAAGAATATTTTGAAAATGTATTTTCCATATGACTTGGCAATAGCTGAGCAGAATGGCAGATTTTCATCTATTTCCTTTTTTCAAGGCAAATAATTTGATGGTAATTTTGAGCTGATTCGCCCATATCAACCAAACTTGCATTGAGTTTATATTGTCAGACTCTGCTCAAAGTGTTCAAATCTGCATTCACCATAGATGATGATGCAGATATTTTCTCATCTGTCYGGTGTTAAATTTATGTTTCAGAATYCAACTAGAAAGATGCTACAATTATCTTGGTAGCAGTTATTTGCAGAAGCAGCTACAAAGAATACATGGAATTGAATGGAGTCTTTGACAAACTAGAACCCGGTTATTAGAAGAACATCTGACGCTTCATTCAGAGTTAATAATTTGGGCCACCAGRCAAAATGCCTTTCTAGTCCCCAGAGAAAAGGCACAGAGGATTGGGCAAAAATCTGAAAGGGAAAAATCAATGATTAAGAAAATACTTTGGACTGTGAAACCATGTTGAGGAGTGTGAAAAATGGAGGCACGACATAGGAACCTACTCTTGTTACTAATTGTCTTTATAAATCTTTATTTCAAGGATATTTTTGGTCAAAATAAATATGGAATTCCCCATACTTAACATCGGGAACAAATAAAGCTGTGAAAGTAGGACGCTGAAGTAAGGTCAGAATCAAAAGATGTTGTTGTGGGATTGATTTTTATGAAAAAAAAAAAGTTTCTTAGATATTTCTGTGGATTGATGTAAATTAAAAGTTTCAGCATTCCATTTCATTTAAGATGCATCAAAGAGCTGAAATTCATATATGTCCTTTGAGACCAGAATTTACTTTTTCTCCACATTTCTAGGCTTTTCTTCAGTGGAACGAGTTCTGCTTTAAAAGGAAATCAGTATTGTATTATCTTCTAAAAATTGTTTGGGTTTATAATTCTTTTGATTTTGTCACCAGAGCCATAACTGGCAATATTGGTGTTTTTGTCATCTTCTAAAATTAGAACCAAGCAAAAAAGTATGCAACTGGCATAATTTTTTTTTTTCGAAAATTAAAATTGTGGAAAAAGTTTTGAAAATCTGGCTGATTAACAAATATTCTACAGCAAAAGAAAAAGATCAAACAAAATGCATATTTTTWWTTTTTTATTATTTTTATATTAAAGTTTGGTATTTGATGTCTTGATTCATAGCTTTTCCAATTTACAAAGTTGGTAATGTTTCACTGAATCAGACTATTCAGTCCCAGGTTCAGGTGCTCCAAGTCTCCTGATGTGCTATTGCATATATAAATTGCAGTTTAATTCCTTAAGAATTCTAAAAATTTAACATCGCTATTTGTTTCTATTTTTTTGGAATTGCTGTTATTTGTTTGAAATGAAATTAGAAAACACAAAAGTAAATGTGTTCTGAAGTACAGAAAATGGGCCTCCATTCAATGCTGTATTACACAATACAGTATAACAAACAGAGCCTCAAATCAAATCTCAGTTGAGAGGCTCCTCAACACACAGGTTAATTAAAATCTRCATTTAAGTCTTACCATTTGGGACACATCTGTTTTCCTTAATTTGTGCCAAATTATAGGCTATAAAATTTCTTTGCAAAGACATATTTTTAAATGCAAAGAAGCTYTCATAAATGCCATCCATTTGCCAGTATTTTAACAGAAGAACAAAGTGAGGCACTGGGTGAATTATATCCTCTTATTCTCCTTTTATTCTTCTTATCCTTTCTGGTTTTAAAATTTTCATACTCTGTCCCTAAGTGAGGCTTATGTAATCACCCTAATTTTTCAAATATGTGGCACTGCTGTAAACACAACTCTAAATATAATTGGTTYGATTTTCTTACACTTTTATCATAGCAATACCCTGTTATTCCCTACTCAGCTGGCCTAGTGTAATTCCTTAGATGATTTTCTTACAGCACCACTTAACCATTTTTGATTGCTTTATGTAGAACACAAACATTTGATGTCCCATGTCTATATGCCTATCACATTGTCAGTCACACCTGTTTGTGTTTTGTCCTTTTGTTTTGTTTGTCATTTTGTCTGSTTTTAATGTTTTTGGTTATTTTTTGGTAAGGAGTAAAATAAGAGGTACCACAATCATCCAGATGCTTGAAAATGTGTGAAAATTGGTGGTGAGGTGGCAAAGACAGTAAGTGCCCATTCTCAGGGGAGAACTGGATAGAACTCAACCAAAGTCAGACCACAGCCATGCTCTGGCTTATCACTGCGTCACTTCATCACTGCTTTCTCTGTCACCAATTTCAGCTCTTGCCTATTCACCAGCTGGATTCATATTTAAATGGTGGTAAATAACATGAAAAGAGCTAGAAGAGCTGTTCAAGCACAGAGACATTACTCTGGAGGTGGGCACTGAGCTAAATGTAGGGACAAAGTGAAAATGGACATGAAAAGAGAGGGGAGGGAAGAGTGGGGAAAAATACAGGACATAGTAAATAAATTCATAGCACATTGGTTTCATCACTCGCTTGTGCAAGGAGTTTATTGTGGAAGGAGAACCCTGTCTGGGAACTTGTGCTTTTTAGCAATCTGGGATACATTTTGGGGAAGAATTCTATGACATGTTCACTTAAAGATTCTGTGGAAGTAGAATTACTCAAAATAAGCGACAAAGCAAAGTGGAAAATGGATTAACAGAAGTAAGAAGAGAAGCAGATACAGACTTGTAATGTTTCTGTATACTTGGAATATTATGTCTTCTACCTATAAAATGTGTAGATACTAAGCATAAGAGAAATTATGGAAGTATCAAGAGGAAAATTTTGCTAATAAGCAGACTTTTTCTTTAGCTTTTTTCTTTTTCTTTTGCTTTGGAAAGCAAAACAGCTAAAATAGCTAACATTTAGACTCAGAAATATGGTTGAGAAATATTTACAACTAAGCAGAGCTTTAGAAAACAAGCCATAAAAAAATCTTTGCCAGATAAATTGACAAAGTTATCRAATGCTCTTTACAGCCATATTTGGATGGATGGGAAGGGCACAGAAGTGTGACTAGAATACATTCTTCCATTAGCTAAAAACAGAATTCTGCCAGCTTAAATAAACTATTTTTGTATTATATCTGGGATGGAAAAACAAGTGACATTCAGGAATAAAAGAGAAAAGGCATGTGTAGGACATCCAGCTGAGCAATGATCAGAGGCAAAGAAGCATATTCAAAAAGAAATTTGTTTTTGCTATACTAAAAGTCTGTTTTGAAAACAACTTCAAATTGTTTCATTTGATCATTTGGGGAATGTAAGCAACACTAGTAGGTTTTTCAATCAATTTATATGGGCTTTCTTTTCTTTTGCTTTTTTTTTTTTCAAAATTCAATATATGGACATTTACAGCTGAAGTACAGATACGCCTTCAGTTATATTAGCTCTAACAAAACAGTTATTATAAAGGTTTATTCATTTCAGCACTATCTATTCAGTTATGTTTTATTTAACAGCAGAAAGTCTGAGAATGCATAGCAATAATGAAATAATGTTTTCTTTTGAGACTGGGTTTTCCTCTTTTAAGAGAGGAAGTTTTTTTTAATGTTGTAAAGGTAAGTTGTTTTAACCATCTGATAACCCTTGATTAGAATAAAACAAGGCCTATCATCCTATTATAAATTTACAAGTGCATCAAGAAGACACATCMTTGTGTTAGAGAGAAAATATATAATTAGATGTTCACCAAACAAGACAGAGGCAACGGAAAGATTGCCTTTCAAAAAATAAGGAACTAAGAAATYAGAACATTTTGGGAAACCTACTAAGGATTCTATTTAAGTAATAAAAATATGGAAGGTTTTCTATGCAATAGATATGCACTAAGACATCCCATTTTAATATGATATTTCTTTAATATCTGCCTAGCAAARCATTTAACTTTAAGTTAGAGTTCAGATCCTTTTCTCTTGAGATGAATCAGCAATCGACATGTAACACAACCACAGAAATTTAAGCTTCTTAGAGAAGTACTGAACAATCTGGAATATATATCCACTTCCGATTAATCAAYGATTACCTACATTTTTAACTTAGAGAGCAATATCTCAATATGAAATTTATTAATTACTTTAAATATTAGTAAAGTTAAACATTCAGAATTTGTTAAGAAAAGATAAATAAGCCAGAGCATAAGAATAAGACTTYAGGAAAGTCTTATAAGAAATGTAATCTCATTAGAGAAACCAATCATCACACTGAGAAGGATAGAGTCTTTGAAAGTGGAATTGACATTTTGTAAAGACTTGTCAGAAACAGATTTTCATTAAGTTAAGATTGCAGAATCACTGCAGAATCTATATACTTACTTTGTCATGGGTTCCCACAATACATTATCTTTCAGAAGGCTCAATTTGGACTAAATCATAAACCATATATTGTAAAGCAGTAGCAGTAGAAAACAAACCAGAAAAAAAGCCAACTTTCTTTAACCACACTTTTGTGGTTTTCAACACTTTAAGAAACTCTGTAGGTACTCTGACAGCTAAGATAATGTTTTTTAATCTTGAGTAGATTCTTACAGATGTGCAGGTACAGAGGATGTACGGGAACTTCATCAGAGCATTTTTAAGATGTGTGCTATGTGTTCTATCTTGTAGCTCAGTATCACAGTATTTTCTTTGCTAGAAATAGGCCACAGGATTTGTACTGAGTTTATGAGGCCTCAGGACTGTGGCTTGTCAAGTTTCCTTTGTCTGACTTTGTCTCAGTCTGCCTGAAACTTTGCTTTGACCTAGTTTAGCTGCTACAGTATTTTTCTCTCATAACCAGATAATGATGTTTAATTGGTTTGAATATGGCTTGTCTTTGTATGGCATAACCAGYTTGATATACAGCTATAAAAAGCAGTTGTATATAAAATGAGATATTWGTGAGTCTAGTGCAGTGAAGCAATGTAGAAAATTACAGGTCTGGTATGTTAGTGAAGTTCTTGAGAAGAGGAAACAAAGGAAACCTTATAGAGGAATAGTGGGATAAGAGCTGAGCCACAGCCTGGAACCAGAGATCCCATGGTTATGAACAACTCATCAACAGTTAGTTAAAGAAATGTAGACCTGAACAAAGTTGGGGTTTGGGGGTATGACAAGTGCATCATGTGTAGCAAATTTGAATATAATGTGGACTTGCACAGCAGTAAGAAAGAAACAATGTGGTAAAAGACCATTAAAAAAGAAGCAAATATTACCCCAGATCCTAAAGCAGATCCTAAAGTGAAGAAGTAAATAACAATTTTATCATAGTCTTCCCTGTGAAATAGTTTGGGCGCTGGTGATTTACTAGATGGTACCTCAACAGGTGGAAGGATCCCAAAGGTCAATGCATGATATAACAAAACTATTAGCAGCTAAGAAACGTGTGATACACTTCTAACTTTGAGAGTYGTTTTGCTTTTTTTATACATTGACTTGGTTTGGTTTTTGTTTTGTTTTAATAATGGTGGTGTCTTTTCTTTACGCTCTTTATTTTTTTAGTTTTCTTTCATAGGTAGATGTTGCCTAGCTCACTGATTAAAGATTTCAGTTTTACTACTAATTAACTCTGGGCTTTACACACAATCATTGCTTCCTTTTTAGCCAAAAAGTTTTAAAGCTGAAGTGTGGATATCGTGATGATTTAATTTCATTGTGTTTTGTATATTGTTATTGAATTCCTGTGGAATCCATACATTAACTTAAAGAAAACTCTCCAAATGGTAAAGCAATTTCTTATCTTCTACTAAAATGCCTCTGGGTGAATCTACTGTTTTTTCAACAGAGCTGTACATTGAGAAATAATAAAAATGTCGCGCTTTTACCCAATGCTTATCTCCAGGTGAGTAAAGGATGTATCTTTTTTCCCATTATAAGCAAKATTTGACAAGTATGCAGACTGAGGATCATTAGCATTTTGGTGCCAGAATTTGTATACTAGATGACASTGAAGGTTAGAAATTTATACGTGAATCTACAGAAGAAATCTTAACTGACCTAGATGGCCTTCTGCTTAAATTATTCTAAATCTGACAGTGGTTTTATACAGTTTTTTGGCTAAAAAGATATGCTTCAGGATTCATTCCAAAATGTGAAACAGTTAGAATAATTCCCTGTGAAAAAGACTGTATCAGGATCCATAGATTATTTCAGTCCTCTTAAATTCCCATGCAATTTACATTTTGTTAATCTTTTTTATAAAGGGATCATCCAAGTACTCTTTGAGCATGTGGATGCCCTATTATAGGGCATACCCTATTAGAAATATTAATATAAATTCTTACATAATATGAAAATAGACCCTTTAGCATTAACTTTGAATTTGCTGTAAGTTACAAAAGCTTTCACTTCTGTCAGTGTAACTTATAGTTCTAACACTTTTTCAAGAATTTAGTCCATGTAGCTGGTGAAAAGAAGCTGGAAAATGTGGATCTAAGACTCAGGGAGCAAATCCCAGTCCCCTCTGTGCCACTCACTTTGTTCCAGGGGCTCATGAACACACTCAAGGTCATTCAGCAGGGATCTGTCTGACGATGTGCCCGTGTTAGATYGAGTGTTGCAGGAACACACGGCAGGTAGGGTGATGCTGAGGAGAGGTGACAGGAATGGTGATTGTCCACCACACCACTGTCATCCCCCTCTTGGCAGCACCTGCTGAGGGCTCTGTGTCAGCTGTGCAGGTGGCACTGCTTGGGGATCACCATCAGAGCACTGAAAGGCTCTGTTCTGATTTGCCTCTTCCCTCTTGCCCGGCTGTCCTGAGAAAAAACCACACATGATAAAATCACATGATAAAATATGGCACATACTTCACGTGATTGGCTCCAGCCAGGGTAGTCAAGCAGGAAAAGCAGAACGAAAAATCTTCAAGCAAATCCAAAAGAGCATCATCAAAGACCTGTCAGGGCTGTAAGCAGTTAAAACACCAGAATATCTAGCACGGCTTAAGGATCTTTCTGAAGGGTGGYTTATGAAACACAATTTTTAAAAAATCATGAGAAATATCCTGCTCATAAAGCTTTGAAGGTCATTGTGTTCATTAGAAAATACAATTGTATTTTACAGCAAGCAGTAAATTCTGACTTGTGGAAATTTATATAGCTTCAGGCATATAATACCCGACACTAAACTAATGCTGTTAGTATTTTACTCATAACTTTCTTATTTGCTATAGTTATTTCACTTATCCTTCATCAGTTGTCTAAATCTAAACTCAAATGAATACATGTCATCTTTCCGAAATAATGCAGAGAAAGCATTCATCTGACAGTGAATTTCTTTACTACTTCAAACTAACATCAGTCTTTCAAACACTGACAATTTTTTTCTCCTGATCAAATTGTTTGCTGGATTATCGGGGCTTGCTGAAATGTTTCTCTAAACAATTTATCTTCTAYAGCAAGCTGGAGGAATGTCTGCTGTGATATTTTGTTTTACCTGACAAGCATGCAGCTTTCTAAATTCACTGCAACTTAGAAGACACCAGTTCCTTTGGGGGAAAAAAATGCAAAAAGAAAAATCAAATTTAGAAAAAATAAATAGTTGGAAAATGTATGAAAAAAAGTATTTTTTTTCAATCCAGGTTCATTCAAGAAATATACCATTTCAAGAGAAATCTTTCTGTCGACTGTGTTTTACCAGAATTGCTGTGTTCAGCTTAACACTAGCAATTCAGCATGGAGGCTTCTTGCAAAGAAAATGTTAAAGCTGCAAACACATATGGACATCTGAGTTGGATTTTTGCATAATAGTTTATGTACTATTTTGATTCTTCAAGTCATTCTATGCCTAAAAAGCCAGGATAGTGTTATCAACATGATTTTGTTCTTCATCAAATAATTTCTATATGGAAAAGGTAAATAATAGACACCGTGTACAAAGTCAAGATTCTTATCCTGTATAAGATGTCCCCACCAAAATGAAATTATGCTATAAACTCTCAATATTCATACACACATTTTTTCAGTCACACTTTAACCATAATATGGAGTTATAAGCAAAAAAGGTGTTTGGAAGCAGAATGTTCTTGCTATGGGCAGTGGCCCKTTTGTGGCTTTAGATGTCCTTATCTTCCAGGTCTTTATACTGGCCAGTGTTGCTCAATACATATTTATCCCTCCCCTCATTTTCCTCACAGTCTATTTCACAGCTTTCCCGGCTTTTTACAAGAGAGAAGTAGGCCTACTGCCTGAGTTTATGTATTTCATCTGGGGATACATAGTGTGCCATGGTATACAGAGTGTCATATTGCATGCTTTTAACAATCCTTCTGTTATGTATTATTGTGACTTATAGCTGAAATCAGTGGGTCAGGATTTTGCCATAAAAATGTACTCATTTGTTTTAGGAATGAAAACTATTGCWAAAAAATTCACCAAGTCTCTCTCAGTGTAATGGAAGTATTTCAGTGATTTTTAGTTTCAGCCTCTGCTAACAGTGGAATTTCCAGTAGAATTAAAATTTCATGTAAAAGTGTTTCATACTTTAATGTTGGAATGCAGCTACTCCATGTGGTACCATAACTCTTCTTCAATGGCAGAACTCTTTTTAAAGTGAAATATTAAAAAAAAATTGACTAAACAGTAATAAAAACGACTCGTCTGTGTGCTTTCTTTATGAGATCCTTTTAGTTAAATCCTCTATACACAAGAAATTTACTTACACTTGCACACATGTATGAACAGTTCCAGATAACTGAGCTTAGAATTATTAAAAATAAAGTTTTATCTTCACTACAATAAATAATTTTGGGTTATTAAAAGATCACCTGATTAAATCAGTGGTTGTGAAATTTTCGTTTTATGACATCAAATCTTTTCAATTGAAAATGATGATGCCCTCATTGTCAGAAATATGTAGCTGATGGCAAATGTTTATTGTTTCCATTATCTCCATTGTCCCCCTTCCTGTGGTAAGGCAAGCAGGTCCAGCTACTGGGGTCAAATGTGGTTCAGTAGAAACATCAGATGAAAGGAGTCATATTAGAGGGGAAAAGGGGCAGGACCAGCTCTGTATTGCACAGAGCCCTGGGTAGTTTCACGTGRTATTCAGGGGTTAAGAAGGAGGGTAAGATATTTTGTTGAGGAACTGTGACACTCAGCAATATTAAATTCCTAAGCTTTGAAATGACACAGGTTGCAACATCCAGTATCTCACTTTTCTGGTAAAGCAAAAAATTAGTTCTTGCATATGAAAGTAGGAGAGGGGTAATTTCAATTTCTAAGTAGCTAAAGCATCTCTCTATATATAGGGAATATATTACCATATATGTTATGTATATGATTTGCTTTATACAAAAATTTATTAAGGCTTATGTATGAATGTTGTGCATTTTGAAAATTCAAGAACAATTTTGAAGGGAGAATTGGGAAAAAAAACATATTTCATGTCAAGGAAACATTAAATAGATAATAATAGTTAAAAGACAGATTCATGATTGTCATGGATGAATGTCAAATGCATTTATCAAATGGCTATGCATATAATGAGTCACAGCTTCCACATATATATATTTGTTATAGACATGTGCAGCTCCTTAAGTGTACCTATTAATTGCAAACACTGGAGTACAGTCTGTTCTCACTTTACATTTCTTTTCTATATGCATATCAGAAAGATAACCTTTGAAAGAKAAGATTAAATCTGAAAAACTGAGGTAACAAAATATTTAACTTTTTGAGAGACATATCTTTGTCTTTTAGAAACTGAAGAGAGGATTGAGCAGACAGTAGTGCATCTGAAAATATCTCCATGAATGAAAGTATAAAAGATTGATATTTTTTGTCCCTTTCAGATACCCACATCCTTATTTTAATTAACTTGCTCATATAAATACAGCAAGATTGTTGTAATTTTTTAAATAACTCTTTACTGAATATGTCAACAAGATAATATATAGTGTATAGTGAGGTTTTGAAGTTAACAATGCGTGCAACATGGCAGATTGCAGAAAACAGATAACGCAGACTTCAAACCGTCTATTTTTCCATGTTAAAGATAGAAAGTATACCAAACACAGAACAGAATCAAGTGTGCATATCTCAGTTAAAACCAATTTTATGAAATATCATCTTCAGATATTTGGGACCAACTCATGATAACAATTTGTTTAGTAGCTTATCTGTTTCTGAGAGGATCAGAATTCAGCTCTCATGAGGCACATTTCCACAGAGCCCCCATATAATAAAAAGTTGCCAAATTTCTTCTGTGCTAGTTTTCCATATGGACTACTAGCCAGCGTCCTTTTWAAGAGCAAAATATTCTCTGCTGTACAAAAGTTTAATGCCAAATGCTTCAATATTGCCTGTAGTATCATCTGGGATACAAAGTGCCCTGTTCAATAGAGTTCAGGGAAGGAGTGATCATCAGCTTCCTAGKATTATCTCTGTGTTTAGAAGAGAGCATCAGGCAGGATTTGATGAGGTTCAGAGCCAGTAACTTTTGGTTTTGGCACTCACTTCTGTTTTGTTTTTCCACTGAGCTGTAAAGATAAGTCATGTGTAAAACCATTATTCTCATGTTCTAAAGAAAAAACTTTAATATCTCCATGTTAAATTTAAGGTGAAGAAGTACTATAAATGCGGGAGTCAATGGGAATTAACCACTTTACTGTCAAAAGCTGAGACTGAACTTTCACTTCAATGTCATTAATAAAGTGCCTTATGTAGATCCTTAAAACAATAATATCAATATGCATAATTTTTTTTTTGTTTACAAAATTGAAATCAATAAAGTTTTCAGAGGTACAAATTTTYCCTCATGAGAAAAAGAAAATGATTGAGAGAAAGGTAAAGTTGAACTACTTTAGTAGCAAATAGCATATGCTATCTCATTTTTCTGTTTTAGTCCTTTATTGGCTTACAGGGAAAACTGCTAGTATCTTTTGAGTTCAAAGAAGATTCCCTAAATATTCTTATAAAGAAATTCAGTAATGTTCCAATAAGAACCTGTTAACACAGAGTCCATGCATTAATCAGGTGTTCATTTTGCCAGCAAGCCACATGCAAGGAACACTTGTTAAAGTGACGGAATCCATGAAAATAAGGACCTGTTTGTGAATAAATATGTCCTCAGGAGGAACCTAAGCATTGGGAACAGCAGTGTTGTGATACTTCTTTAACACAATTTCACTTACACTTTTATTTCATTTCACTTACCAATCCTTCTGCACATCTCTGTCCACTATTAGCAGTACACAGTGGAAGACGGGTGAGATTTTGTCTGAAAAAATATAATTTCCTCCCAGACCCAGTTAACTTGTTCAAATCGGGACTTAAAAGTGAACATTATATGCACATATTTGGTACTTCTACTCTATAGCCTTTAGTTATTATATGTGGTCAGATTTTGCCCTAAGTGAAGACCGCCCAATTTTCACAAAGCCCAAGGGAAAAGTTACTAATCCTAAACTTTACATTGCCCAAAAGATCATTGTCCATTTTTAACTCTGACTTTTYCTAAATACTTTACCTAGGGAAATTTGCTCATTATGTACTTAAATAGGTGGGACCTGAAATGAAATCTCAGATGTTTGTGTGGCTGGCACTTTGAGAAGTCCCAGACTCTGTTGTAGGTTGAAATACAGTAACTTTTTTGGAACTAAAGAACAATTAGAATTGGGAGAAACACTCTTCAAATGAAACATATAACCCTTCAGTTGACTACAACTGTGAATTTTTTTAGCTAACATTCTCACAGATCCACAAATTTTGGTATAAGGGGCTTGCTATGTTTTTTTTTCAGAAGAGTATTTATAATAAACAAACTTTTGTGAGTATCCCATAAAAATACATGTATTTTTCTTCGTACTGAAAACAAGCATAAACTCTTCTATCTTTAATTTCATTTTGATTTTTGATTTAGGTGAGTGTGTATATATATATACACACACATATATATGTTTCATCATTCAAGCTCAAATCAATTAGTGAATACCTTCTGTTTTCACCCTGTTAGGTCAATAACCAGATTTGTTGCCACCAGTTTGGGCTTGTGGATCATTCAGCTGCAGTTCAGGCCAAACTCCCTGAAGAAGTCAATTGCTATAAGAAAGGTGCCAATGGTATTCTGAGGTCTAGAACAGAAAAATTCCTCCTGCATCAGTCATTGAAGTACCAAACACTAGCAAACATGTACTTTCAAAGGAGGCCTTTTGAAATTGAATGTACAACTAGTTATTTTCATTGAAATGAAATATTATATCCACACCCAGTGGGAATCTCTGGCTCTACTTAACTTCAAGCAAACTCCAACATGCAACAGAAGCGTGCAGAAGCACAACTATTTGCTGCTTGTCTTTGAGGTTGTGGCACCTAAAATATGTTAAACAAAACAAAAAAAAACCCCAGCAAAAAAACCAAAAAAACAAAAAACAAAAAACAAACCCAAAAAAACCAACACCAAAACCAAAAACCAAAGCCCAAAAGTATCAACCTTATCATCATCGTCAGTAAATAGATCACAGAAAAATAGACCACTTTGCATAGACATTTCTACCTATAACTATGCAATTTGAAATCATATGGCAGACTTTTAATCAGCAAAATTTTAGTGACTTAACAATTACAATAGCCGCACAGGTTGCTTAGAACACCTGCTATAGCTGGACAAAATAGCAAATATATAGCATACAGAGTTGAATTTCAAAATGTGAATTTAAAAGATGTTGGTGGGAGGAGTTCATTCCATACAAAATCATCGTACTTTGCCATCGATCATAACTGGGTTCATTTTTTCATTGCAGAAAATAATTTATCATGTGATCTGAACTGCAGAAAATACATGCTCATAGACTGCTGAGTTTCAAGAATGGGTTCAGTGAAATGAGCAAAGGAAAGGATTAAAACCCTCTCTTCCACCTTAAATAGCTTCATAAAGTGAAAAATCTAAGCATTGTGAAAGTGCTTCAGCGTTTACTTCCAATATACATGCAGCAATTTCTTGTCTATCCCTAGGTGGTCACTCTAAAAACTTCTTTCTTTGGTTCCCTACTACCTCAGGAAAGTTTYGTCCCCATCCTTTTTATTTTTATTATTTTTTTTAAGTGATGTGAACTTTAGCTTGTYCCCCAAACTCAGGGAAAAATTACCTACATTAAAAAACAAACTGAAAAAAAATCGCAAAATATTAGACTCCACCACTGAGCTGGCAAGAAATCCACAGTTCTTSGCAGTCACTGAGTTTGCAGAGTGGCTGAAACATTACATAACTTTAAGAGCTGCATTACAGTTTTAATACAAGCGTGATGTTTTGCATAGTGCATATAAAGCTCAAGGACTGAGAAGGTATTGCAGCTAAAGAATCTGACGTCAAAAAAAAAAAAAAAATTTGCACCCACCTACTGCTTGTGAAGTAGAAATCATTATGGAAAATGCAAAAATGCTTAAGGTAAAAGAAAGTTAATTCAGAGCGACACTGTGTATTTGTGTACTAAAAATTCCTTAGTCAATACAATGCTTAGCTGATGACAATCTCTGCATACTTTAATTGGGGAGGAAAAAAAAATAAAAAAAATAACCACTGGCAGGATTTGTACATGATTTTCCCCCAGAACATATTCCAGTTCTTAATAGCCCTGGAGGTCTTTCCAGTACTAAATAAATTTGTACAATCTATTTCTTGTTTGTTTTCTCTTTTTGTTTTTTTCCCCCTATTTTTGATAGTAAATATTATTTAGGCCCCTAAGTCAAACAAAGCTTGAACCAATAAAATTAGTAACAACCTTTCCACTGTCATATTTTGCATCATATTTTCAGACATATGCACTTCTAGATTTCAAACTGTTACATGAATACTGCAGAGCTGGGAGCACTCAGAATTTCCCTCATTCCCGCTTTACCTGAACATGCTGTGTCAACAAATGCTTCGCTATTAAAAAGAGGTGCAACTTAATGACAGCTCTCTATTACATTCTGTTACATAACCTCTACCKCCCACTGAGAAGGGTCAGAGAATGCCTAAAGCTTTTTAATCCTATTGAAAAGCACGAACAATTTCTATGTTAAATTATCTAGTATTGGGGGATGTTTTYGGAGCAATTTTTGCAAGCAGGAATCAAGGTCACTTTGAGTTTGACACTGAGCTCTTTCTACCTTTCCTATTCTGAGCAGATTGAGAGAAAACTGATCAAAAAAGAGCATAGCCTTTCTGGCATCACTCAGAACTCGAGATTTCACTTGGACGTAAGAAATGCAGAACTGACAATGAGGAACGGATATATTTCCAATTGTTTGAAGCTTAACAGCAACTGGGTTCAAGTCAGAAGGGTCGTACCCATTTTATCTGAACTGCTTTTGTCTGTTCCTAGTGACCCTGTTTTAATATGCACTTATTTTCCTGTATTCCAGGACACCTAGATATTAACATCCCTCAGACAGCTTCGACAGCAAAGTGGTTAATGTTTGAAGAATGAGTCATTCTTTCCTTTGCCATGACATTGGGTTCTTATTGTACAACCCTGTACAGTACTCAGCAATATTTTTTAAAGATTTAAAAAGCAAAGAGTTACAAAACCATTTGCAATTAACTTGAAATAGAAAAGATAGCACTTTTTTTAAATCCCATTATATAGTACACCGTATAAATTACAGAGTATTCAAATGCATAAATGCATCTGTGTAACATTTATCAAATGTAATCTTTTTTCATTGTTGTTGGGGGGCTTATTTTTTTCCAGAGTTTTTTTCCTCCTTGTCCTAGGGACCCCCATCTTCCCTCACTATCACGTATGACAGTGTTCCAGGTCTGAGACGTTGCTGTTGCAGTATCGCATGTTGTTGGGGATGTGGCAGTCTGTGTAGTTAATGCCCCCGTTTGGGGTATAAATGGGCTGCAGTCTGAAATCTCCTTTAAGGAGCTGATCATTATTTAAGGAGACAATCTGGAAGCTGGTTTCCGTCATCTCCAGGATGGAGTTGTCCTTCTTGGTCCCTGCCTCACAGTAGTCGTCTTTCCGACGGCCCCGGTTATATTTCCACTTCTGGGAGGTGTAACGACCTTTTTTGTGCATATGCCAGCAAAAAACGCTGAGCAAGACCACGAGGACAAATATCACCGCACCCCCAATCAACCCTGCCAGCAGAAATGGGGAGCCCAGGTTCTGAGAAGTCGTCTGCTCATGGCTGGAAGGGATGTTGCTGCCATTCAAGAAGGAAGCCTTGGTTGTGGCCTCTGAACAGACAGTGTCTTCTCCAGTTCGGTAATTGTTGTAAGTATCCAGCGGAACCAAACAAATCCGATAGGTGGATTTGGGCTCCAGATTTACCAGGCTTGATTGCTGCTTCTCACCGCTAATTATTCGTTCGTGAACAATTCCTCCTACCAGACTGTGGCCCATTTTAACCCACGTGAGTTTATACGCCATCACCGTAAAAAGTGACATCCAGTTGACTTGGATGCAAGTGTCATTCACAAAATGGATGTAGAGCTGAATCCATTCAGACAAAGGAGGTGTCACCCTTTCTCTGTCCTCCCTGTCAGGCACAGTGGGGAGTGTGGCTATGATGGGAGTGAGAGGATTATATTTACTGCTTGAGGGGGGAGATGATGAGCTGGGAACTAATGTAGTTGGCATGGTTGTAGCTGGGACTGGGGTGATGACAAGTGGCAGACCAGGGGTGGTGGTGGGGCATGACAACATATTCATATTGAGTTCCCTGACTGCCATACCTCGGACCTGCTCTGGTCCCTGGCACATAAAACCCCGCACATTGATGGAAGAAGGAATAAATTTGAGCCATTCAGTGACCCACTTAATGCTGCAGTCACATAACCAGGGATTATTCCTTACAGTGAGTTGTCTCAGGTTATGGAGATTATCAAATACTCCCTTCGACAACATCCGAAGTTGATTGTTGGAAATATCRAGACGTTCCAGTTTGTGGAGGTTTGAAAAGGCTGTAAGTGGTATGTGGGTTATCTGGTTGTCCTGCAAGTAAAGTCTTAGCAGATGTGTACCCGGAAGATCAGGAGGAGGATAAGTCAGCGAATTCCGAACTATTGAGAATTCCTTGAGCTTGGAGAGGTGGCTAAAGGTGCCTTCAGCGATGCCTTTATTAGTGAGGAGATTGCCATCCACGATCAGACGCTCCAGACTTGTAAGGTTCTGGAAGGCCAGGTCTGAAATGACAGCAATCCGGTTTTCGTCCACTCGCAGTTCTTGTAAGTCCAGCGGAAGCCCCACGGGCACACTGCTTAAATGATTCTTGGACAGGAACAGAAGCTTGAGGCTGATGGCTTCCTGGAATGCCCCATCCTCAACGCCAACGGTGGAGATGGAGTTGTCATCCAGGTGCAGTTCTTCCAGCTTCAAAAGCTGGGCAAGAGCAGCACGGGAAATGGTCTGAATGTTGTTTTCCTGCAGGTGGAGAACCCTGACATTCTTGGGCAAGTTCATGGGAAATTCATCCAATTGGTTGCCATACAGGTAGACTGTGTGCACAGACTGGACATTGTGCAACTCCGCAGGAAATCCAGCATTATTAATTTGGTTATTATGGAGGTAGAGGACGGTTACACCCTCCGGTATCCCAAGAGGCACTGAGGTCAAGCTTCGCTCGTTACAGTAGACAAAGTTTCGATCACAGCGGCACACTTTCGGGCAGGCCAAAGTTTTGGAGACCTGTATGTAGAGCCCCAGGGAAAAGATAAGCCAYGATTTCATGAGAAGAACCCAATCTGTGGGCCACATTTTAGTCCACGAACCCATCTCTAATTCAAAGAAATAAAGTACCAAAGTGTTGAAGAACTGATAACAATAATAAAGCACAGGTAACAAAATCTCAGGTCATTAAAATTGGCTTCTATTTTTGTCCAGTGTTCAGGCCAGAGTTGAAGTCCTGGAGGCTAAGCATAAAATAATCCTTTTATAATTGGCCTACCTCCTACTTTTGATAAGGAAAACACAGTTTTATTAGCCAGGGTTACAAAGTTTGTTGCCTTCCTCCATGTGTGCTGAAAGAACCAATAGCCATGTCTTTGCAGAACAAGAGGTTCTTTAAATCCACCAAAGTCTCTGTGCTCAGAGGGATATTTCACTGAAGTCTGTTGCTGTCTGTCAGCTTTCTGAAGTCAGCAAAGTCCTCATATCAGCTATCTGCCAGATCTGGCCTGCCTGTAAAAGGAAAGAGAAAAGAAAAAGCTGAATAGCATGAAATGTTTAATAGGAAAAATCAAGACTATTCTAAGGCTGAGCTCTTTATGGATTTCTGGAAAAAAAGGGGGGGGGGGGAAAGGCATTAATATTAAACTTTAGCTGAATATTACTGTTTAATAGTCTTGAAATAGATTTGATGCAAAGTCATTGCTATGACTGAAGGACTTTCAGTGACTTCAGTGAAGGGTAGATCTATCACTTGCTYTTCCATACTATACCTTAAGTCTTTGTCCTCTCACAGTCTGTTTCAAATGCTTAAACTAAAAACAAATCAAAACCTAAACCTTTTTACTGGATATTTTTTCTCAGGTAATTATTTTGCTTTTGCAGAACCATTGACTTCAATGACTGCTATTCACTGATGCCTGACAGAGTAGACTTTTTCATTTCCTATAAGACTCTGGAATATTCTGTTTCTATTTCTGTAATGCCATTATATTTATTGTCCAAATGAATGCACACTGCCAGATATTGTACCTCACTAAAATAAATTAGAGACTTACAAGGAGAGTTTTTTAAACATGCAAGGTAGTCCATGAATGTAAGATATCCTGCTGCAAGACACRTACTTGTTAAAACTATCATCTTGATATTGGTCCTGACGTGAACTGTGCYGCCAATAGATTTCAGAACTTGCTTTCCACTAAATGAAACAGGTTCACATCTGCTAAGTTATTATTTTAGAAGATCAGCTCAAACTACAGAAGTTTTGCGGAACACTTCCTTTAAATTCATAAAGGTAAGACATGTCTTTTAATTCTGCTACACAGTTATCGGTGAATGGCTACATAAACAAGTGTGTTAGTTTTACTGTAGTGGAGATCCTTGATGTATTTTCAGCTTGTAAGCATACATTTTATGCTCCCAGCTAYTATTTATTATTCAGATCTATAACCAAGCATTCCCACTCTATAAAGCATGCAACGAATRTTCTGCGTTGTTTGATGTTATCTTTTCTTGTTATATGTTGTTTCCAATGATGAAAAAAAAGCCCCTGCCCTATACATAGTAGGGCCCAATGAGGGATATAAACCTTGGCAAGTACAAAGCATGTGCAGATCTGAGGGTCTTCAACTGCAGTGACATGTGCAGAGTAATTTTCCAGCTTTTGTTCATCCAGATCAAAACTCATTGGCTGGGATTTCAAGAAAATATAATTTCAGTGAATAAAAATGGTGGCTGCTTTTCTTTGTTGTTTGTTTGTTTGTTTTTGTTTGTTTGCTTGCTTGTTATGTATTTTTTATTATTATATTTATTTAAGCAATTTAAGGACATCCAGGTCATTCAGAAAGAAATCTGCTTTTGGCGTACATAAAACCTTGTTCTTCTGATACAGCTGTGCTGTTTATAATATTTCCCAAATGCTACTTTTAGGAATCCCATGGACCAACAGTGTAGAAAGTATCCTTAGGAGTCAAACTGTTATAACCCTTCATCCTTGCACTTGCAGATTACTGTATTTATTTACAACATCATCATGTATCACCTTCAAGTTCAAACAGCTGCAGATAAAAGTGAGGCCCTGAAAAATCCTGTTTATCATTACTGCTTCAAATTTTAAAGGTATATAAATGTGATACTGTAGTACAACCTGTAGTGTCTATTGTCCTTTTACAGATACAGTCAGATTAGGTACCCTGCTGTTCATGGTTTTCTCTCTCACAGGCATATTTCAGTCAAAAGTGATTTCTTTTCAATTATGCCAGATGATGTGATACTGTAGAGAAACCCTTAACAGGATTACATCCTAACATGAGCCTAAGTGTGACAGTTTATCCGTCTTTAATACGGCCTGGCTCCCATCTAGATCACAGTGTGCTGATCCATCATGACACTCTCAAAATGAGAATGGATATGCAGAGGCTCCTCTGGGATGCTTGGGACCACACAGAGCAATAACAGCTGTTCTCTGTCTTCTTTTCCATCATCATCATCAGAGAGGAACAGCCTGTACCTTGAGCAGAGCCAATACCCCGCACTAAGATAGCTTCCCATTCCCAGTCCAGTTACTGATTAGGTTTTGTTTGACTCCTGGGTATAACAGAAAGCCCAGCTGAGAACRTTCAGCCACAGGCAGGTGCAGTTCCAGGTTTTCTGGGAATCTCCTATGAAAAGACTTCCATATTAAAACAGATCTATGCATTCACCTCATTCTAGTACTCAGTGTAATTCTCACCTAGTATATGTGGCACCTGAATTAAAGATTTCAGCAATGATTCAAACAAGTTGRGTCAAGCACACATCACTTCTCATTAAATAATGCAAGCAAAAGAGCTTTGATTGGACAGTCACTTAAGCAGATTCTGGAGTTCTCTCCTTTTACTTGCTATTTGAAATCTGCTAAAACTTTCMTAATGTTTTTTGTTTTCCCCTCGTGATGGTAAAAAAGGTAGTCTTTTTATTAATGCCAGTATCCTGAACTCTAAATATTGTCCTTAATGAACTGATACAATAAAAGTCAGTACAGATTATATGAATTTGGGACTATTCTTGATTGTACTAAGCAAGAGTACAAGGACATCTCTAACTAGATACTTATGACTTCAGGGTTGACTGTGGTGTGGCAGAGGTAAAGAATGAGGAAGCAAAGATAAAACTGAATGTATTTAACTATTTTAGGGAAACGTTTTACTTCAGTAGTCTTTTACAACTGCCTAATACTAACTTATATGTTGCTGTATTTTTCTGCAAGTCTCAGGGACCATAATGCAAAAGTAAGTTCTGTTTCTCTGTCAGAAATCTCCACCCCAAAGACGTTAAAAAGATTGAAAAGTTGGAAACCTGCTTGATTAAAAATAAATAAATAAATAAACTGAATGAAACCATCACAAGTGGTAAATTCCAGGAGGCTGGGAAAGTGTAAAGAGTTTTTCCTTACTAAACTGCCAAAACTGAAAACAGGTAGAATCATTTAACTTCCCCCTCATTCCTGGCATGATGGCTTGCTAAAGCAAGCTCTCTGTTTTCAATATGACTTCAAGTACTGAATTGGGTGTCTCTGCAAATTTACTGATTGTATGCAGAAGTGGAAATTTGGAAGGAAGGAAATAAGGGCATTCCTTAGCTATTGTGATTGTAAATCTTGGGATTTGACTCACAAGCTATAGATGGCAGTAACTTTCCTTATTGTGTAGTCAGAAAGTTCTATAAACCAATCTAGGAAGAGAAAAAGGCAAGTGTCACAATAAACTTAAAATTCAAGAAATCAACAAGCAAATGCCTCAACAATAATACATCTGTCCATCACCACTTTAGTAATTTTTGTTTCTATTTCCTCCCCTAAACATTTAATTTCTATTATTTCTCACTTTTTCCTCCCTAGACACAAGTCATATCTTTCAAGTGTGTATGACATTTCTAGTCTTACTGCAGCCAGGATATTAAATGCTATTAGGATTTAAGGAATGATACAATGAAGTTGGGAAAAGCTCATTGAGATAGATGAGAAAACAACATGTTTTAGGTGGCCAAGTCTGAAAATTTGGCTTAGTAGGCTGAGATCCTGCAATCAGTGGAAATATTTCTTTTCATAACTTCAGGCATTTCTGATCAACATTTTTATCTCACTGTCTTTTTTCAAACCTGCCTTGTTTAAATTCCCTTTTGGCATAACTGGCGCTAGCTTGAGAAGAACAATTCTGGCTTTGTGTACTGGATGAAAGATAAGGTGTTTTGATTAAAGATACTTAAAGGTTGAAACATCTGACTGCAAGTTGGGAAGGTGAAAGTTTTTTGTTAGTCGTACCTTTACTGGTCAGAACCATCCATACAAATCCCAGCTTTTGTCACCTGGCTGTGCATTGCCATGAATTGATTAATACATTACTGAAAATGCTACATAGTTACAAATTTATGGGATCCAGTGGAAAAAAAATATCAGCTCCCTAGCAGTCTGATTATGAAACCTTTTCATGCCTCACTGACTGCTGCCTCAGTGGGTGTGCCTATGGTGTCTAAAGAATCTCCAAAGCTGCCCCCAGAACCATCCTTCCCACTTTTCATTCTGCAGTCTTCCAAACATGATCTTCCCTGAGGTTCAGGGAAGATAACAGAGAATAAAGGGAGAAGATAGCATGTGGAGCCAAGCCTGCACATGGATAYTTACAGCCCTATGTTATAGGCTCAGAGTTTTGAAGGGCTCCTAAAGCCAGGTTGTCTGTCTCCATTAGCCTAACCATGGTTTATATTAAGGCTATAAATTTTTCAGAGAGAATAAAATTAAGAATTCTTGGCTATTCTTTTCTTCAACAAATCCTGAAAATAATAAAAAATAGGTCATAGGAGTCCAAGGCTTTTTTTTTTCTTGATAGTTTAATCACTCAGCACCACTTTTCCTATCAGTTCATCCATTTATCTGGACCTGAGTGCCATGCAACATAAACTGAAAGGCAAGCAAAACCAAAACCAAATGGTCATACCTATTCTTTTCACTATTAYTAGTCAGTGACTTATTTAGCACTAAACCATTTGGCACAAATTTTCTTGGCTGTACTGCACATCAAGGTTATGATCAAGTCATAATCTTACTCCACATAATTATACAGTGAGTACAAGGTTATTATGTCTGGAATTGAATGACAAAGAGTAAWCAAATCTAATTCCATTCCTATGAAACCTAGTGCAGAGTTCCTAGTGCTTTTGAAAAATGTCCCTTTATTTCTATCAAATGGTAATAAAAATATACAGAATAATACCTGAAAAATTCYTTTTTTTCCATGTAAGTAGAGTTCATGTCTTCACATAAATTAATATCCTAGTGTTTCAAGATTTTTTGTTTTGTTTGTTTGTTTGTTTGGGCTTTTTGTTGTTGTTGTTTGGATTTTTCTTTAAAGGGACTAGGAGCCTTGGGTTAGAGCTTACTGTATATGTTTCTCTGAGAGTTACTTGGGTTTGAACTTGGTGTTCGAATTTTAATATGAGTCTATAATCTCTGCATCAAAGGCACAGGGAAAATGACC